TCTGTGGTGTGCGATCTTCTGTGGTGTGCGATCTTCTGGGATGTGCGATCTTCTGGGATGTGCGATCTTCTGAGGTGTGCGATCTTCTGGGGTGTGCGATCTTCTGGGGTGTGCGATCTTCTGAGGTGTGCGATCTTCTGGGGTGTGCGATCTTCTGGGATGTACGATCTTCTGGGATGTGTGATCTTCTGGGGTGTGCGATCTTCTGGGATGTACGATCTTCTGGGATGTGTGATCTTCTGGGGTGTGCGATCTTCTGGGGTGTGCGATCTTCTGGGGTGTGCGATCTTCTGAGGTGTGCGATCTTCTGGGGTGTGCGATCTTCTGAGGTGTGCGATCTTCTGTGGTGTGCGATCTTCTGAGGTGTGCGATCTTCTGGGATGTGCGATCTTCTGGGATGTGCGATCTTCTGAGGTGTGCGATCTTCTGGGATGTGCGATCTTCTGGGATGTACGATCTTCTGGGATGTGCGATCTTCTGAGGTGTGCGATCTTCTGGGATGTGTGATCTTCTGGGGTGTGCGATCTTCTGGGATGTGCGATCTTCTGAGGTGTGCGATCTTCTGGGATGTGCGATCTTCTGGGATGTGCGATCTTCTGAGGTGTGCGATCTTCTGGGGTGTGCGATCTTCTGGGGTGTGCGATCTCCTGAGGTGTGCGATCTTCTGGGGTGTGCGATCTTCTGGGGTGTGCGATCTTCTGAGGTGTGCGATCTTCTGTGGTGTGCGATCTTCTGGGGTGTGCGATCTCCTGAGGTGTGCGATCTCCTGAGGTGTGCGATCTTCTGGGGTGTGCGATCTCCTGAGGTGTGCGATCTTCTGGGGTGTGCGATCTTCTGGGGTGTGCGATCTTCTGGGGTGTGCGATCTTCTGGGGTGTGCGATCTTCTGGGGTGTGCGATCTTCCACGTGATCGATTTCCACCCTCAATGGCGGATTCGGTCAGGAGGGGGCGGGGCATGGCGGGGAATGGCACGGCCGCAGTCTTGGCCGGGATCTCCTCTCCGGACTGCAGATCTCTTCATCAGAACAATTTCCAGATTATTGCGGCTCTTATCTGCTAATATTTGATGTTCCAACTCCCACAATATTTGCGCACGTTCTGCCAGGCCCCGCCCACTTCTGGCACAGCCGCTGTGTGAGAATTGGAGGCCGGGGGTCATGGCCCCTCCCCCGAGCTCTGCAGGACGGCTGGCGGGTCAGGTTCCGGCCCACTTCAAGGAGCTTTTATTATTAGCTGCGATGTAGAACTGGATGAGGCTGCGTGTGCTCTGCGTGTGCCGTGTGCGCTCCGTGCTCTGCGTATGTGCTGTGCGCGCTGCATGCTCTGTGTGCAACGCGTGCTCTGCGTGTGCCGTGTGCTCTGCGTGTGTCGTGTGCTCTGCGTGTGTCGTGTGCGCTCCGTGCTCTGCGTATGTGCTGTGCGCGCTGCATGCTCTGTGTGCAACGCGTGCTCTGCGTGTGCCGTGTGCTCTGCGTGTGTCGTGTGCTCTGCGTGTGTCGTGTGCTCTGCATATGTGCCGTGTGCACCGCGTGCTCTGCGTGTGTCGTGTGCGCTCCGTGCTCTGCGTGTGTCATGTGTGCCGCTTGCTCCATATGCATCATGTGCTCCATTTGTGCCGCGTGCTCCGTGTGCGCCATGTTCTCCATGTGTAGCATGTGCTTCATGTGCACCATGTGCATTGTGTGCTCTGTGTGATCCGTGTGCTCCGTGTGTGCTGAGTGTGCCATGTGTGTCATGTGCTCCATGTGTGCTGTCTGCTCCGTGTGCGCCGTGTGCGCCATGTGCTCCGTGTGTGTCATGTGCTCTGTGTGCGCCCTGTGCTCCATGTGTGTTGTATGCTCCGTGTACTCCATGTGTGTTGTATGCTCCGTGTGCTCCATGTGTGTTGTATGCTCCGTGTGCTCCATGTGTGTTGTATGCTCCGTGTGCTCCATGTGTGTTGTATGCTCCGTGTGCTCCATGTGTGTTGTATGCTCCATGTGCTCCGTGTGTCATAAACAACTACTACTCTGCTTATGAACAACAGCCTTGTGTTCCTCTTCTGTTATTGGTCGGCTCTGCGGATCTCCTGCAGCCTCTTTGCAGCCACTTCCTGTCAGCTATGGCGGCATGGCATTCCTCAGGGCGGATTCCTGATGGTGACAACAGTGTCAGTGTGGGCTGAATTGGCCATTAGTAGTCTCCGTTGGAATCCAGTGTGACAGGGCGACAACGCGGGAGAATAATTGGGAGACGAGGGCAGAGCGTTGTCACCCTGTAACAGGAAGTGGCTGAACAAGAACCTTCTTGGCAGAATCAACAGGAATTATTCTACTGAAATTTGCAGATTTAAAAAAAGACCAAAAATGACCTTTACAAGGAAATTCTGTTCAGGATGAGAAGATCTGCGATTATATCTGTCACTGATGAGCGGAGCTGCGGAATAAAGACTGGAACTTTGTAGAAGGAGGAGGAGGCATTTCCTCAGTCTCCCCCTCCCCCAGTGATCAGACTGTACATTGTAACTTTGTAGAAGGAGGAGGGGGCATTTCCTCAGTCTCCCCCTCCCCCAGTGATCAGACTGTACATTGTAACTTTGTAGAAGGAGGAGGAGGCATTTCCTCAGTCTCCCCTCCCCAGTGATCAGACTGTACATTGTAACTTTGTAGAAGGAGGAGGAGGCATTTCCTCAGTCTCCCCTCCCCCAGTGATCAGACTGTACATTGTAACTTTGTAGAAGGAGGAGGCATTTCCTCAGTCTCCCCTCCCCCAGTGATCAGACTGTACATTGTAACATTGTAGAAGGAGGAGGAGGCATTTCCTCAGTCTCCTCCCCCAGTGATCAGACTGTACATTGTAAAATTGTAGAAGGAGGAGGAGGCATTTCCTCAGTTCCCCCCCCAGTGATCAGACTGTACATTGTGACTTTGTAGAAGGGGGAGGAAGCATTTCCTCAGTTCCCCCCCCCCCCCCCCAGTGATCAGACTGTACATTGTAACTTTGTAGAAGGAGGAGGAGTCATTTCCTCAGTCTCCTCCCCCAGTGATCAGACTGTACATTGTAACTTTGTAGAAGGGGGAGGAAGCATTTCCTCAGTCTCCCTCCCCCCAGTGATCAGACTGTACATTGTAACCTTGTAGAAGGAGGGGGAGGCATTTCCAATAATACTTTGTAAGGTTCGTATTGAACGTTCCTCCTCCTAGGTTGAGGTCAGGTCCCGTGTTACTCATTCCTTGTGTCCACACTGACTGCATTCCCCTTCCTATCACTCCACTATGACTGAGAGGAAATCTTTTCCAGGATAAACATTTAGTGATAGTATCTGTAGGCTTTTATATAACAGTTGTTCAGCAGAGGTACTGATTGCACCATCTTAGGAGACCGAGTCTGCACATCTGTGTACGAGGAAAATCCGGAATGAATCTGATGGAGTCTCCACGGGATATACAGAATATTGCCCCAAGTATTGTCCCCGCCCCCCTGTATATACATCATATTGTCCCCGCCCCCCTGTATATACATCATATTGTCCCCGCCCCCTGTATATACATCATATTGTCCCCGCCCCCCTGTATATACATCATTTTGTCCCCGCCCCCCTGTATATATACATATTGTCCCCGCCCCCCCGTATATATACACTATATTACCCCAAGTATTGGGCCCCGCCCTTTCCACGCACATGACCTTTAATGGCCCCCAGTCTTAGTCCGTAGGGTTCAATATTGAGTTGGCCCCGCCCTTCCCACACACATGACCTTTAATGGCCCCCCAGTCTTAGTCCGTATGGTTCAATATTGAGTTGGCCCCGCCCTTTCCACACACATGACCTTTAATGGCCCCCCAGTCTTAGTCCGTAGAGTTCAATATTGAGTTGGCCCCACCCTTTCCACACACATGACCTTTAATGGCCCCCCAGTCTTAGTCCGTAGGGTTCAATATTGAGTTGGCCCCGCCCTTTGCAGCTATAACAGCTTCAACTCTTCTGGGAAGGCCGTCCACAAGGTTTAGGAGGGTGTCTATGGGAAGGTTGGACCATTCTTCCAGAAGCACATTTGTCAGGTCAGGCATTGATGTCGGGGGAGGAGGCCTGGCTCGCAGTCTCCGCTCTAATTCATCCCAAAGGTGTTCTATGGGGTTGAGGTCAGGACTCTGTGCAGGACAGTCAAGTTCCTCCACCCCAAACTGGCTCCTCCATGTCTTTATGGACCTTGCTTTGTGCACTGGTGAGCAGTCATGTTGGAACAGGAAGGGGCCATCCCCAAACTCCTCCCACAAAGTTGGGAGCATGAAATTGTCCAAAATGTCACCTTAAGAGTTCCCTTCACTGGAACTAGGGGGCCAAGCCCAACCCCTGAGGAACACCCCCACACCATAATCCCCCCTCCACCAAACTTTACACTTGGCACAATGCAGTCAGGCAATTACCGTTCTCCTGGCAACCACCAAACCCGGACATGTCCATCGGATTGCCAGCCAGGAAAAAAAAAAATGCCAGCCAGAGAAGTGTGATTGGTCCCTCCAGAGAACACGTCTCCATGCTCTAGAGTCCAGTGGCGGCGTGCTTTACACCACGGCATCCGACGCTTTGCATTGCACTTGGTGATGGAAGGCTTGGATGCAGCTGCTCGGCCATGGAAACCCATTCCATGAAGCTCTCTACACACTGTTGTTGGGCTCATCTGAAGGCCACACCAAGTTTGGAGGTCTTTAGCTATTGACTCTGCAGACGGTTGGCGACTTCTGCGCACTGTGCGCTTCAGCATGCGCTGACCCCCGCCCTGTCATGTGACGTGGCCTACCACTTGGTGGCTGAGTGGCTGTTGTTCCCAGTGGCTTCCACTTTGTTATAATCCCACTAACAGTTGAGCGTGGAATATTTAGTAGCCAGGAAATGTCCCGGATGGACTTATTGCCCAGGTGGCCACCTATCACGGGACCACGCTTGGAGCCACTGAGCTCCTGAGAGCGACCCATTCTTTCACCAATGTTTGTAGAAGCCGTCTGCATGCCTAGGGGCTTGATTGTATACACCTGTGTCCATGGAGGGGATTGGAACACCTGGATCACATGATATGGAGGGGATTGGAACACCTGAATCACATGATATGGAGGGGATTGGAACACCTGAATCACATGATATGGAGGGGATTGAAACACCTGAATCGCATGATTGGGATGGGATTGGAAAACCAGAATCACATGATATGGAGGGGATTGGAACACCTGAATCACATGATTGGGAGGGGATTGGAACACCTGAATCACATGATATGGAGGGGATTGGAACACCCAAATCACATGATATGGAGGGGATTGGAACACCCGAATCACATGATATGGAGGGGATTGGAACACCTGAATCACATGATATGGAGGGGATTGGAACACCTGAATCACATGATATGGAGGGGATTGGAACACCTGAATCACATGATTTGGGGGGCGGGGACAATACTTGGGGCAATATAGTGTATGTTCATATAATTGTTGTCAGTGGGATGCAGGGCTGAGGGTGGGCAGGAGGGGCAGCTGCCCAAGGTGCAGTGGTGGAGGGGGGAACCCTCACCACACACATGCTCCATATCAATGGCCGTTCCCCAGCTCTGTGATCTGGGTCCAGTGTCTTCTGCAGCCCCCCCATCACACTGTAATGCCTGCAGGGACGCATTATTACTGGTCAGCGCAGGACGCGCCACGGCACGGGAAACGCAAGGCGATGCAGGAGTCAGCATCTCAGCGCACCATTGCGAATGCGTCAGAAATGTTAGTAATTTTTTTGTTGTTGTTGCAATTTGTAGCGATACCCCCAGATCCATCTCAATCCCAGATCCAGACCTCCCAGTCCGGGTGACAGGTTCTCCTCCTGCTGAGTGCTGATGGGAGATCCCAGCCAGCATCCCGGGTGACGAATGTGTGTGGAGTATATTAATGAGAGTGCGTGGAACGTGGAACGCGGCTTCTACATGTGCGATAAGATAACGCCGAGAAATTTTAGCAACCCGTCATGATAAGACGCCCGCTGATATCAACTCTCCACCTCGCCCAACACAAACACCCCAATCCACTCACAGCGCCGGAGATAGCCGTGGCAGAGCTTCGTGACACGTTCCCGCTTAGTCACCACCCCCCCTCCTGGTACAGAGCCATCTCCTCCGTGCCAACGCACGCAACTCCGCCAGAGCCCAGACACAGCTGAATACCAGGAAATACCACCACATACCACCACATGCCACCACATACCACCACATGCCACCACATACCACCACATGCCACCACATGCCACCACATACCACCACATACCACCAAAAACCAAATACTACTACATGTCACCAAATACTACTACATGCCACCACATACCACAACATACCACCAATCCACTCACAGCGCCGGAGATAGCCGTGGCAGAGCTTCGTGACACGTTCCCGCTTAGTCACCACCCCCCCTCCTGGTACAGAGCCATCTCCTCCGTGCCAACGCACGCAACTCCGCCAGAGCCCAGACACAGCTGAATACCAGGAAATACCACCACATACCACCACATGCCACCACATACCACCACATGCCACCACATACCACCACATGCCACCACATGCCACCACATACCACCACATGCCACCACATGCCACCACATACCACCACATACCACCAAAAACCAAATACTACTACATGTCACCAAATACTACTACATGCCACCACATACCACAACATACCACCAATCCACTCACAGCGCCGGAGATAGCCGTGGCAGAGCTTCGTGACACGTTCCCGCTTAGTCACCACCCCCCCTCCTGGTACAGAGCCATCTCCTCCGTGCCAACGCACGCAACTCCGCCAGAGCCCAGACACCGCTGAATACCAGGAAATACCACCACATACCACCACATGCCACCACATACCACCACATGCCACCACATACCACCACATACCACCAAAAACCAAATACTACTACATGTCACCAAATACTACTACATGCCACCACATACCACAACATACCACAACATACCACCAATGCACTCATCAGCACCGGAGATAGCTGTGGCAGAGCTTCGTGACACGTTCCCGCTTAGCCACCACCCCCCCTCCTGGTACAGAGCCATCTCCTCCGTGCCAACGCACGCAACTCCACCAGAGCCCAGACACCGCTGAATACCAGGAAATACCACCACATACCACTACATGCCACCAAATACTACTACATACCACCAAATACCACTACATACCACCAAAAAATACCACTACATGCCACCAAATACCACTACATGTCACCAAATACTACTACATACCACCAAATACTACTACATACCACCAAATACCACTACATGCCACCAAATACCACTACATACCACCAAATACTACTACATACCACCAAATACTACTACATGCCACCAAATACTACTACATGCCACCAAATACTACTACATACCACCAAATACTACTACATGTCACCAAATACCACCACATGCCACCAGATACCACCACATGCCACCAGATACCACCACATGCCACCACATACCACTACATACCACCAAATACTACTACATACTGTGTAAGGTAAAGTCTATGGGCTGGAAAAATCTGAATGTAAATGGATAGAAAACTGGCTAAAAGATCGTATTCAGAGAGTAGTGGTTAATGATTCATTCTCTGAATGGTCTGGGGGTGTCAGTGGTGTACCCCAAGGTTCAGTGTTATCAGTGGTGTACCCCAAGGTTCAGTGTTATCAGTGGTGTACCCCAAGGTTCAGTGTTATCAGTGATGTGCCCCAAGTTTCAGTGTTATTAGTGGGGTACCCCAAGGTTCATTGTTATCAGTGGTGTACCCCAAGGTTCATTGTTATCAGTGGTGTACCCCACGACTCAGTGTTATTAGTGGGGTACCCCAAGGATCAGTGTTATTAGTGGGGTACTCCAAGGTTCAGTGTTATTAGTGGGGTACCCCAAGGCTCAGTGTTATTAGTGGGGTACCCCAAGGCTCATTGTTATCAGTGGTGTACCCCACGACTCAGTGTTTTTAGTGGGGTACCCCAAGGATCAGTGTTATTATTGGGGTACTCCAAGGTTCAGTGTTATTAGTGGTGTACCCCAAGGTTCAGTGTTATCAGTGGGGTACCCCAAGGCTCAGTGTTATTAGTGGGGTACCCCAAGGATCAGTGTTATTAGTGGGGTACCCCAAGGTTCGGTGTTATTAGTGGGGTTCCCCAAGGGTCAGTGTTAGTGGGGTTCCCCAGGGTTTAGTGTATTAGTGGGGTACCCCAAGGTTCAGTGTTATTAGTGGTGTACCCCAAGGTTCAGTGTTATTAGTGGGGTACCCCAAGGTTCAGTGTTGGGACCCTTACTTTTTAATATATTTATAAACAATATGGGGTGTGAGATTATAAATCCCATTCCAGTCTTTGCAGATGACACCAAGCTGTGCCGGGAATAACGTCCTTCCAGGATGTCTCCAACTTACAAGCCGACCTCAATGCTCTGTGTAATTGGGGGACTATGGGGCCAATGAGGGCCAATGGTGATAAATGTAAGGTTCTGCACTTGGGGGCTAAGGATATGCATCATACAAACAGGGGAGGGTACAACTGGGGGGGGGTCAATGGTGGAGAAGGATCTGGGGGGGTCAATGGTGGAGAAGGATCTGGGGGAAATCAATGGTTGAGAAGGATCTGGGGGGGTCAGTGGTGGAGAAGGATCTGGGGGGGGTCAATGGTGGAGAAGGATCTGGTGGGGTCAATGGTGGAGAAGGATCTGGTGGGGTCAATGGTGGAGAAGGATCTGGTGAGGTCAATGGTGGAGAAGGATCTGGGGGAATCAATGGTTGAGAAGGATCTGGGGGGGTCAGTGGTGGAGAAGGATCTGGGGGGGTCAATGGTGGAGAAGGATCTGGTGGGGTCAATGGTGGATAAGGATCTGGTGGGGTCAATGGTGGAGAAGGATCTGGGGGAATCAATGGTTCAGAAGGATCTGGGGGGGTCAGTGGTGGAGAAGGATCTGGGGGGGTCAATGGTGGAGAAGGATCTGGGGGGGTCAATGGTGGAGAAGGATCTGGGGGGAAAGTGGTGGAGAAGGATCTGGGGGAATCAATGGTGGAGAAGGATCTGGGGGGGTCAATGGGGGAGAAGGATCTGGGGGAATCAATGGTTGAGAAGGATCTGGGGGAATCAATGGTGGAGAAAGGATCTGGGGGGTCAGTGGTGGAGAAGGATCTGGGGGGTCAGTAGTGGAGAAGGATCTGGGGGAATCAATGGTGGAGAAGGATCTGGGGGGGGTCAATGGTGGAGAAGGATCTGGGGGGGTCAATGGTGGAGAAGGATCTGGGGGGGTCAATGGTGGAGAAGGATCTGGGGGAATCAATGGTTGAGAAGGATCTGGGGGGTCAATGGTTGAAAAGGATCTGGGGGGTCAGTGATGGAGAAGGATCTGGGGAATCAATGGTGGAGAAGGATCTGGGGGGGTCAATGGTGGAGAAGGATCTGGGGGAATCAATGGTTGAGAAGGATCTAGGGGGGGTCAGTGGTGGAGAAGTATCTGGGGGGGGGGGTCAATGGTGGAGAAGGATCTGGGGGAATCAATGGTTGAGAAGGATCTGGGGGGGTCAGTGGTGGAGAAGGATCTGGGGGGTCAGTGGTGGAGAAGGATCTGGGGGGGGTCAATGGTGGAGAAGGATCTGGTGGGGTCAATGGTGGAGAAGGATCTGGTGGGGTCAATGGTGGAGAAGGATCTGGGGGAATCAATGGTTGAGAAGGATCTGGGGGGTCAGTGGTGGAGAAGGATCTAGGGGGGGGGTCAATGGTGGAGAAGGATCTGGTGGGGTCAATGGTGGAGAAGGATCTGGTGGGGTCAATGGTGGAGAAGGATCTGGGGGAATC